CACCACAAGCTAGCTTCACGTTAGCTCGGTCACGTGAATATTTACAAAATAAGGTCGACTAAAACCGAAATTACGATTATAGTGATTTAGATGTAGGCCCTACTAGCTAACCTCCTCTATATATATGTCCAGTCGTTTTCCATGTGTGACTTGTAGTTGATACGGTAGTGAGAAGTGGGAATCATTGCCTCTGGTACATTTACGTTCAGTACGCTGTCCGACATCCACAGTGTGTACAGATTCATGGAAACGCCCGCAGTACCATTGAACACTAGTTTCCATTTAGGTCCAAAGTCTGACGTCAAGGACGATACAAAAGAAGATAGCGAGAAATCAATAAGTATTTAAGAAATCCTGTAATCCTTAAATTGTAACCCTGTATCAGAATAATACTATATCCTACAGCACCACAGTCCCACGCTGGTCTGTATCGTAATATCTGTGTATATATGTTATCTATAATTATACTACTATATTGTACTGGGGTTTTAGGTAAAGACTTCGGGTTCTCGTAGGTCGACAGCGTAGAAGGTGGCAGCGTTGTTTCGTCAGCAAATGGTAGAAAAGTTAGCAGCAGAAGCGTAGATAGCCAAGGTAGAGCCGTAGCCGCAGATTAGTTGTTTCACTTGACTTTATTAGTAACACATATAATAAAACATAATAAAACATATAACAAAATATATACATACGTACGGCAACTTAGGTGGGTGACCCACCTAGGTCCCGTCGTCTCCATTTTTCTACATTATGGTAGGTAACCCCTCCTGGGTAGGTAACGTCCGTAGCTCGGTTCCTCTCTCGGTTCTTATGTATTATAACTCGCTTCCTCGCTCGGTTATATCTCTCTGTCCGATTGTCTCTATTTATATCATTTCCAAAATGGCCCGGCGACATCTGGATCCAACCGGTTTAATAATTATTATCGGCCGGACCTTGCGGGCTAAGAGGCGCGTCCCGTGTCATTACAAAAACAACACGAACAACGAACAGGACAATTAGTCCCACTGCCTCGCCTGGCTATAAGCGCTACCGGTTAATTACAACGCACAATGTACCCGTACACACAATACAACAATCCTTCGTTTCCTCTCGAAAGAATTCGTGTCCCCACGTAAATACAGTTATACGTAAAAACATTAAAAGTTAAAAACGTTAGTCTAAGGCATGATGGTGAGGTAAATCCTTGGGGTAGAGAAGGGATGGAAAGTCCGGTTTTGAAACGGGCTGAGGGGAGCTGCAGCTGTCTAGTAAAAACGTGCGCACATTTTCGTATCACAGGAAGGGGCGACAGTATGTAACGGTAACTCAACACGAATCGGCATGGAAAGGCTAGGAAGGATGGCAATCAAGGTTAATTACCTCTTACCACTTAAAACACGTTATAGTCATCGGTTAATCAAAAGAAACAATATACAAACAAACAAACGACAAAACATAAAATACAGATAGGACCGGCTGTAAGCTATATCGTAAACACATATACATAGTCAACTCTTTGTTTATAAAAATTTTGAATTCGTGGTATCGACCCAATGGTATCGGCAGTAGCCGTGACTCAAAAATGACGCGACGCGTGACGAAATCGGACATACCCAATTCCCGGGCGGAGCTGTTTTAGCTCGTCACCTTTAATTAACGCTCTATGGTAAGTTTTGTGCCGTAGTATGCCTCTGTTGGCAGGGACGCTAATTTTAGCTTACCCTATTGGCCACGTTCGAGGTCATACTTGGAAGCGGCTGGGCGTCTCGCCCCTCTCATCGCATAGGCTTACTATATACTTTCGACGCTTGAGTCACCGTACGCCGTTACCATGAAATTCGAATACCACTCTAGCTACGAAAATTCGCGCGCTGCTCGGCACTTCGCGAGCTGTTTTACTGTTAATAAATTATTTCCGAATTTGTGGCTATGTATACAGTAAAATTACGATGTAGCTTACCATATCGTCGCCGTGTTAGACTACTTCTTCTGCTGCTCCTCGACTTTGCTCTGCGCGGGCTCTGGATCAAGGCTGTCGAGCTTGGAGGACATCACAACATGGCTGCATGCCTCTCCATTATCTTCCTCCCCCGCTCTTCTTCTCTCCCGATGCTATTCTTCTCTCTCTTTTTTTTTCATCATCTGGGGAATCAGCGTAGCGTACGTAGCGAATGCAGAATCTTCTTCTCCTTCTTCGTCTTCTTTTGGTTTCGGGGGATTAGCGTAGCGAATGCAGATCGTTGCATCCT